TTGAGCAATTTTGGTAGCTTGTGTCTTTCTAGGAATTTGTTCGTTTCATCTAAAATATCTAATTTTTTGGCACACAGTCGTTCAGAATATTTCCTTATAATCTTTTAAAACATTTTCTGTAATGTCAATCAGCAGTAATGCTTTCTATTTCATTTCTGAGTTTAGGATTTTCAGTCTTTATTCTTGGTCAGTCTAGGTAGGGTTTATCAATTTTGTTGATCTTTTCAAGGGACAAACTTTGGGTATGTTCTTTTTCTTTATAGTTTTTCATTTATTTCTGCTCTCATCCTTATTTTTTTCTTTATTCTGCTTGCTTTACGTTTCATTTGCTCTTTTTTCTAGTGTGTTAAGGTGATGAGATTTTTTTTTTTTTTTTTTTTGGACAGAAAGGGAGGGCACAAGTGAGTGAGAGGCAGAAAGAGAGGGAGGGGGAGAGAGAGAGAGAAGTAGAGCTCACCCGAAGCAGGGCTTGTGTTCGAAGCAGGGCTTGTGTTCGCGTGAAGTAGGGCTTGAACTCCCCCAGAGCGGGGCTCGTGTTCGTGTTCACCTGATGCGGGACGCAGAACCCGAGTTCATGAACTGTGAGATCATGACCTGAGCCGAAGTCAGATGCTTAACTAACTGAGCCACCCAAGTACTCTGTCTTCTCTTTTCATACAGATGTTTAGTTATAAATTTCCCTCTAAGCATTACTTTAGCTACATCCCATGTTTTCATGTTCATCTCAAAATATTTTCTTATTTCCTTTGTGATTTCTTCTTTAATGGTTGTTTAGCAATGTGCTGTTTATTTCCACATATTTGTGAATTTTTCGTATTTACTTGCTATTGATTTCTAACTTCATCCTGTTGCTGAATCATCTATTTCTCCTTCTAATTGTGTCAGTTTTTGCTTCATGTATTTTGGGGGCTCTGTTTTTTGGTACATGTATCTTCATAATTCTTATCTTCCTCAATTGACCCTTTTATCATTATAAAATGTCTTTGTCTCTAACAACATGTTTTGTCTTACAGTTTATTTTGTCTGACATTAGATATCTACTGCAGCTGTCTTATGGTTGCTGTTTGCCTATCTTTTTCTATCCTTTCACTTTCAACCTATTTGTGACTTTGAATCTGTGTGTCTCTGACACAGAGCATAGAGTTGGATCATGTTTGTTTGTTTTAAATTCAAGTTAGTTAACATATAATGTAGTATTGGTTTCAGGAATAGAGTTTAGTTATTCATCACTTTACATATAACACCCAGGGCTCACCCAACAAACACCCTCCTTAATGCCCATCACCCCTCCAGCAACCCTGTTTGCCTCCCTCTCTGTTTTTATCTTATTTTTGCTTCCCTTCCCCTATGTTTATCTGTTTTGTTTCTGTTTGTTTGCTTGTTTTTTTATTCAGGCTGACAAGATCTGCCTTTTAGATGGCTTGTTTAGTAGATCCACATTTTTTTTAAGTAGGCTTCATGCCCAACATTGGACTTGAACTCAGGACCCTGAAGTCAAGAGTTGCATGCTTTACCGCCTGAGCCAGCCAGTTGCCCCAGATTCACATTTAATGTTATTGATATGATTGGATGTACAGTTGACACTTGAACAACATATAGAGGTTAGTAGCACTGACCCCATGGGCAGTCAAAAATTCATGTATAACTTTTGACTCCCCCAAAACTTAACTAATAGTCTACTGTTGATGGGAAGCCTTACTGATAACATAAACAGATGATTAATGTATATTTTTCATGTTATATGTATCATCTAATGTATTTTTTTATAGTAAAATGAGGTAGAGGGATAGATGTTACCAAGAAAATCATAAGGAAGACAAAATCCATTTATAGCACCATATCAAAAAAGAATCTGTGTATAAGTGGACCTGTGCAATTAAAATTTGCGTTGTTCAGGGGCCCCTGGGTGGCTCAGTCGGTTAAGCATCCGACTTCGGCTCAGGTCATGATCTCATGGTCTGTGAGTTCGAGCCCCGCGTCGGGCTCTGGGCTGATGGCTCAGAGCCTGGAGCCTGCTTCTGATTCTGTGTCTCCTTCTCTCTCTGCCCCTCCCCCGTTCATGCTCTGTCTCTCTCTGTCTCAAAAATAAATAAACGTTAAAAAAAAAATTAAAAAAAAAATCTGTGTTGTTCAAGGATCAACTATATATCTATTTTACTTTCTTAGTGGTTGCCCTAGGACTTAAATAATATATATCTGAATTTATCAGAATCTACTTCAGATTATACTATTTTAAGTCCAGTGAGATATAGAAATACCTAGATAGCTATATTCTCTCTTCCCTCTTTTAATTTCAGCATAGTTATACATATTACATCTACATACATTACACATACAACTTTGTTAAAATTATTACTTTCTACAATTTTAGGCCTTTTAAGCCTGAGAGAAGAAAGGAGAGGAAATATCTAGAGTTGCTGTTATATTAGCCTTCTTATTTACCATTTCCAGTTCTTGTCATTAGTAGATTTTTCTGGGGTCTTAGTCTGTTCAGGCTGCTATAACAAAATACCATAGACTAGGGGCTTGTAAACAACAGAAATTTATTTCTCACAGTCGTGGAGGCTGGTTCATAGATGTCCATCTTCTCACATAATGTAAGGGGCTAAGGAGCCCTCTGGGTTCTACTTTATAAGGGCACCCACTAATCCCAATCATGAAGGCTCTACCCTTGTGGCTTACTCACCTCCCAAAGGCTCCACCTCCATTACATTGGCAGTTAGGTTTCAACATATGAATTTTGGGGAACACAAACATTCCCTTTAGAGCAGTTGAATTAGTATTGCCCCATTTGCTCTATTCCCTCAGACAATTTCTAGAGACTTTAAATTTCCAGAGACTTTTCTTTTTTTTTAATTAAAAAAAAAGTTTGTTTAATGTTTATTTATTTTTGAGAGAGAGACAGAGAGCAAGCAGGTAAGGGCAGAGAGAGAGAGAGACACACACAGTCTGAAGCAGGCTCCAGGCTCTGAGCTGTCAGCACAGAGCCTGACATGGGGCTCGAATTCACAAACCGTGAGATCATGACCCAAGCCAAAGTCAGATGCTCAACCGACTGAGCCACCCAGGTGCCCCTAGAGACTTTTCGTTTTAAAGAAAATTTTCACCAGCTAAGGTTGGTTCACTGGGAAGAAGAGCTCCTTATATTATTGTTTAAGAACCCTCAAGGTTATGCATTTCTTTTAAGTAAGCTCTACATCCAGCGTGAGGCTTGAACTCACCACCCCCGAAATCAGTAGTTGCTGGATTTACTGATTGAGCCAGCCAAGCACTTCTGATCTATGCATATTTTAAACATGGATACCTAGTGGTTAATTGCTCTCTAGAAAAGCTACACCACTGGGGCACCTGGGTGGCTCAGTTGGTTCAGCTCAGGTCGTGATCTCAGTTGGTGGGTTCAAGCCCCACATCGGGCTCTGTGCTGACAGCTCAGAGCCTGGAACCTGTTTTGGATTCTGTCTGTCTGTCTCTCTCTCTCTCTCTCTCTCTCTGTTTCTCTCACTCTCACTCTCTTTCTCAAAAATAAATAAACATTAAAAAAATGGAGGGGGGCACGGGGGTGGCTCAGTTGGTTAAGCATCTCACTTTGGCTCAGGTCATGATCTCATGGTGTGAGTTCGAGCCCCGCACCGGGGTCTGTGCTGACAGCTTGGAGCCTGGAGCCTGCTTCAGAATCTGTTGTCTCCCTCTCTCTCTGCCCCTCTCCTGCTTGCACTCTGTCTCTGTATCTGTCTCTCTGTCTCTCTCTCGCAAAAATAAGTAAGCATTAAAAAGAATTTAAAAAAAGGAAAAAGAAAAGCTACACCACCTTACATTTTCAATAGCAGGTTGTGAGAATGCTTATTCCCCACACTTTTGCCAACACTGGGTGTTATTAACGTTTTTAATCTTTGCTTAATCTGATAAGCAAAATACCCATCTTATTTTTATGTTCAAAATTTAGGCAGTCTGAGGTGATTTCTAGAAGAGGCATACCTGCATCTTTTCACTGCTGAATTATTTTTGCCATCCCATCATGACTGTCAGGAAAGGGAAATGTTAAGTACATGGAAGCTTCCAAAAATGAAGCAAAGGGCTGCCTTCACGTCTTCGGGAGGGAGACAAAACAAATTGCTTAGGAAACCTTGATACCAGTGATTTGTCTTCTTGTAAAAGATCCATTTTCTCTTAAAAAAAAAAAAAAAAGTTAATATGTTGCTCTACCATATAGTTAAAACTTATTGCTAAGTACTAATTATTAAATAGTTTCACAACATTAAAGGATTCCTAGGGACCATTTTATCTGTTAAAATACCTCAAATTAAGATATTGGTTCTGGGGGCGCCTGGCTGGTTCAGTTGGTGGAGCGTGTGACTCTTGGTCTTGGGGTTGTGAGTTCAAGCCCCAGGTGGAGTGTGGAGCCTACTTGATAAAAGATATTGGCTCTGGTATGTTTTTGTTGACCTCCAAAGTAAACTATCTTAGCCGGTATAAATATCAGGAATCAAAATCCAAAAATATTAAGAAAATTGAGCAAATAGGTGAAAAATAATTTAGTGAAAAAATCTCTTTAATAACATGAATTCAGGCCTTTGAAGAAATATGGGTGTTATTTTCATATTGAAAGGTAAGAAAATACAAAGTTGCTTTCAGCACTGAAAAACCTTGTTAAGTTTTGTTTTTTTTTTTTAATTTTTTTTCAACGTTTATTTATTTTTGGGACACAGAGAGACAGAGCATGAACGGGGGAGGGGCAGAGAGAGAGGGAGACACAGAATCGGAAACAGGCTCCAGGCTCCGAGCCATCAGCCCAGAGCCTGACGCGGGGCTCGAACTCACGGACCGCGAGATCGTGACCTGGCTGAAGTCGGACGCTTAACCGACTGCGCCACCCAGGCGCCCCCTTTGTTAAGTTTTTAAAACTCATTATCTATTAAAAAAATTAAGCATGGGTAAATTAGTCTGCTGGATAGCATTTCTTTTTATAATGTGTTTCTTTCTTGTTTGTCTCCCCGATATAGATCTTAAGCTAACTTCACCTGGTTTGCCAGAAGAGGAGTGAATAAAAGATACCCACCCACACCATAGTGTGATTGCTTAGAAGCTCCTGTACAAAAAGGAATCATTTGAAAGCACCTGCGATGGTTTCTTAGTTTTACAGGATTCTCTTTTTCCTGGTTTCTCTTTAGAGGGGAAAATAACATAAATTCAAAAACAATTCCAATCCGAAGCACAGTTATTTGCTTATATAACAAAATCTCTCATCTTTTTCTGTATATTACTATTCTTAGATGAGTTAAAAAGAAATATACTTTTTAATGTCTTAGAACTCTGTAATAATCAAAAGTACAAGAATTAAAATTTTTCTTTCATATTCCTCTAATTCTCCAAAATTAAAATAAGTGTTTATATGTTTGAGTGATTTTTTCCAAAAATGCTAAATCTGAGATAAAATGCATTGGTCATTTGGCTTTACAGAATAGGGATAAATTAATTGGTTCATCGATTCTTTATATAGAGAGACTAAGAAAGAAGCCACCGACTGCTACCAATTTTAAATTATAGGCTTTAATGCTTATGAAAGTATTTTTTATTTTAAATAATATTCATAAAGTCGTAAAGAAAGTTTTAAAAACTAACTGAAATGATCATTTCTGAATCTATTTCTCATTATGTAATTATAAGAAGCCAATGTTTGATTTCCTTTGAAGTTCTGTTAGATCTTTCCAAGTTGTTAGATACACTCTTAATTTGTATTCATTGAAAAGATCACTCAATTCCATAAGGTTTTTATTTTATTGTAAGTTAATTCCAGGTATGAAATTTACAAATTCTTTTCTTGATTAGAAATTTTGCTTTGTAAACATTATAGAGTAGGAGAAGCCATAAGCCATTAACCCTTATTTTGCTAAAATAAATTTGGGATTGGTATACTCTAAAGAATTTGAGACAGAAATTCTGAAATCACAGTTTGTCTCCCTTTCACAGTTTATTAATGGCATCTTTTGGGATGAAAAGTATTTATAGAAAGAACTGTAACTAACTTTAAACACTAAAGATGTTTTATGAAATGTGTTACCTCATTTAAATTGGATATTTTGGGGAAATTATTTTTTAAAAAAATTTCTTTTGGGGGAGCCTGGGTGGCTCAGTCAGTTAAGGGTCCAACTTCAGCTCAGGTCATAATCTTGCTGTCTGTGAGTTCCAGCCCTGCGTGGGACTTTGTACTGACAACTCAGAGCCTAGAGCCTGCTTCAGATTCTGTGTCTCCCTCTCTTTTTGTTCCTCCCTTGCTCATACTCTGTTTCTCTCTCTCTCTCAAAAATAAATAAACATTAAAACAATTTTTTTAATAAATACAAAATTTTTAAAAATTCTTTTAAATTAATTAATCTCTACCCCCAACGTGGGGCTGGAACTCACAACCCAAAGATCAAGAGTCACATGTTCCACCAACTTAGCCAAGCGCCCCTAATTTTGGGGAAATTATAAATGCTTTTCTGGATAAATCGTGATTCCTTTACACAAGTGCATTTTGATAGAACATAAGCTATTATCAGTTATATTTATTTTTAAAACATATACTTGTTCATATACTTTGTGCAAAAAAAGAAAAGCAATACTTTATACAGTTAAAATGTGTCTCATTGAATACAAGCCAATACTATTTCAAGTACAGACTGACATTCACAAAGTTAAAAACCAACCATACCATTGTAATGTAATTAAATGGTTGTAGATAACTGCTCATACAACTGCAGTGAGTTTTCAATAAAACGATCGAGTGTCTACTTGTCCTTATTCTGTATAAGAAATGTTCAAAGTGTTGAGCACAGCATGGTAGAAATCGTTCTGATACTTTTCTTTATTTCCATTGTTTGTTCCTTGATATATACCTTGCCACTACAGTTTTTTACTTAATTCAGGATTATCAAAGTAAGGGCAAAATTTCTCTCAACATCTACAAAAACCCAGCAATAAAATCTGAAAAAAATCAGGTATGCTGAAAGTGGCATACAAGAACGAATCCATGACAATGGAACCAAATTTATTCATCGGTGAGATGGAAGGGGAAACAGAGAGGAACGTCAAAGATGTATACGGGTTGTTTTGTTGTTTCTAGAGAAAGTGAGAGGGAGTGTGCACGTGGTTATGAGTGGGGGAGGGGCAGAGGGAGCACGAATCTTAAGCAGTCTCCACGCCCAGCACAGAGCCTGATGGGGGCAGTTGGGGGGAGGGGAATCTCAATCTTGATCTCAAAACTGGAAACACGACCTGAGCCAAAGTCAAGAGTTAGCCGCTTAACCAGCTGAGCCACCCAGGTGCCCCAAAGATGTAGGCTTTAAACTTTCCCTATGATTTCGTGTTTTATTATTTTTCTATTAAAAGTTTTTTGTAATTTCTAATCTTTTCAGAACCTGAAGGAAAACGGATTTTACATAGTTTAATCAAGATGGTTAAGGGTTGGGGTGTTTGGGTGGCTCAGTCAGGTAAGTGGCCAACTTCAGCTCAGGTCATTATCTCACAGTTGACCAGTTCAAGCCCTACATGGGACTCTGCCTCGGATCCTCAGTCTCCTTCCTCTGCCCCTCCCCCACTTGCTCCATCATGCTCTCTCAAAAATAAATAAAACGTCAAAAAAAAAAAAAAAACCAAAGATAGTTAAAGGGATCAGAAGTAATGGTGCCAGCCCAATTTGGAACCATGGAGTAAGTCAATGAAGGGAGCAGATGGAGAGTGATGAAGCAAATAAGAATTGGAAATGCTGATCCCTCTCTCTTGGTTCAGTTCCTTCCAAACTCTGAAGTCAGTGCAGTCTTTGGTCTCATTTCTGCACTATTTTTACTCCTTCAAAGGGCCAGGACTAGAATATGTGGACACAAAATTTAAGGGTGTGCTCAAAACCTCACTGATCAAGATAAGTAACATTTTAGCACCATTTTTGAAAAAAAAAAATTAGCACCACCAAAAATGCATAATGAGCAAAATATCAAATTTTTAGATAAAGACAGAACTGACTGAGCCTTGTTAGAGCCTGAGGCAAAGGGAAAAAATTAGTAAGTTTAATCTGGTGACAAGAACCTTGTTTTAGCACATTGGAGTCTGAGTTCCAGGCTTTGTTTCTTCTCCTCATTCTCACTTCCCAAAATGACTTCACTCCCTAAACTCTAGATCTGTATCCCATTTTCTGTTCTTGGCTTCCACTGTGCCAGAATGTTCATGGAAAGAACACTGGATTCTAGCCCTGGCTTCTTTTCACATTTAAGCTCTCATTCTTCTATAAAATCATAATTGGATTCCAAGGAGTCTTGGTAAGTGGTAGTGAGGTTGCTGATTTCAGGCTCCAGTCTCTGTCAACTGCTCTGCAGAAGAATTCTCAACCTCATCTGGAAGTTTGCTATTTAATTGTACACTACTAATCCATAAGAACTATCTATGTGGGGGCGCCTGGGTGGTTCAGCTGGTTAAGTATCCGACTTCGGCTCAGGTCATGATCTCATGGTCTGTGAGTTCAAGCCCCACGTTGGGCTCTGTGCTCTGACAGCTCAGAGCCTGGAGCCTGCTTCGGATTCTGTGTCTCCCTCTCTCTCTGCCCCTCCCCTACTCATGCTCTGTCTCTGTCTCTCAAAAAATGAATAAATGTTAAAAAAAAAACCTACCTATTTCATCTCTCAACTACATATTAAGAAGTATTACAAACTCAATTTTTGGAAGTTTTCAAAATATCTAGTATCAACTGTTTTGTGTCACTTGCTATGGAGTAAGTAACTATAGAATATTCTCTAAAGTTTTTTAACTTGGTAATGGATAAAAGTAAAAAATATTTTGGTATGTATACATTTCTCAATTTTTCTATTCTTTTTTAAATATTTGTATTTCTTAAGTAATCAATTCTTAATTGAGGGTGGGGCTCGAACCCACAACCCCAAGATCACGAAATGCATGCTCCACCAACTGAGCCAGCTATGTGCCCCTCACTTTTTCTATTTTTTTTTTTTAATTTTTTTTTTCAACGTTTATTTATCTTTGGGACAGAGAGAGACAGAGCATGAACGGGGGAGGGGCAGAGAGAGAGGGAGACACAGAATCGGAAACAGGCTCCAGGCTCTGAGCCATCAGCCCAGAGCCTGACGCGGGGCTCGAACTCAGGGACCGGGAGATCGTGACCTGGCTGAAGTCGGACGCTTAACCGACTGCGCCACCCAGGTGCCCCTCACTTTTTCTATTTTTAATGTAAAGTCTCCTGGGAGAATGTGTTCATATGTCAGTTTCCACACTGTTTTCTCTTCCAGTGAGGTGTTAACAAAATTTTTGTGTTTCATAACTCAAATAGTTATGCTTAACTAAATATGACTTGTATACACTGAGCTTTAAGTATCATGAAAATTTCAAATACAGTAAGTAAGCCAAAACCAAAATGCTTCTAATTCTTTAACTTTTGGTAAGAGACAGCGCAAGCAGAGAAGAGGGACAGATGGAAACAGAGAAAATCTTAAGCAGGCTCTGCCGTGTTTTCATGGAGCCTGACACAGGGCTCAGTCTCACAATCCTGTAATCATGACCTGAGCTGATATCAAGAGTCAGATGCTCAATGGCTGCTTAACCGACTGAGCCACCCAGGCACCCTCCCCCTTTCTTGTAAGATCTTTTAATAATATTAGCTTTGAAAAATAAAAAAGTTCCAAACTTGCAATTTGACAAAACACCAACATGTTTTCTGTTAAGATATTCTTTCCTGTAATGAGATTGTGGGTGATGGTTATTGTCCATACTGTAATTTTTGGAGTTCTTTCTGTTTTTTGGGTGTCTGAGCCTCTTTAAAAATCATTATTGGGGCACCTGGGTGGCTCAGTCGGTTAAGATTCCAACTCGGTTTTGGCTCCAATTATGATCTCACGGTTTGCAGGTTTGAGCCCCACATTGGGCTCTGTGCTGATGGTGCAAATCCTGCTTGGGATTCTCTCTCTTTGCCCTCTCCCCCGAGTCTCTCTCTCTCTCTCAAAAATAAATAAACATTTTTAAAAATTATTCTTTAGGTTCTGTGTTTGTTTAATTTAAAAAGTGCACTTGTTATAAAGGAAGGGAGAGGAGGGAGGGAGGAAAGGGACTCAGCCTTTTGCAAAGTAGTTTCCCCATAATCCTGTTGGATTAAGCATTAGTTTGCCCATTTTTAGATGAGGAAATTGAAACTCTGAAAATAAGAATAAACTAAAATCACACAGCTAGTAAACTGACACAGTTGGAATATAAATCCAAGTGCTTTCCAAAAGGTACTAGGATATAAGAGGAATTTTAAATTATTACAGACACATCTTTTATAATAAAATATGGCATAAAGAATCATTTCCTGACCTGTAGCTGAAAAATGGATCAAATTTTCTGGTGTGTAGATTTTTGCCTCCTCCTGGAGGCAGACCACTGGAGTGATCACCACTTCTGCACCTTGGCCAGAGACTTCTGTATCTTTGTTGAATTAAGTATGTGTGCCTCATACTGAATTCAACCAAGTTTGGATTCATTCCCTCTCAACTTTCCTTCTCTACTTTCAAGGAAACTTGGAAATTATTCTGCTTGCTTTAACCATTTTTTAAAGAGAAAAACAGCATAAAGTAAAAATAAAATTCTTCCTTTTATGTTTAAGCAGAATATTTGAAACTATTCTAAACATAGTTGTATAAAGGGGCTTGGCTTTTCTCTTTAAAAAATTATTTTCAAATGAAGAAAAACTTACAGATTTTATTTTTTTTAACAAGCTTTACAAATGATACAAAACAAAATGGAACACTTATACCTGTTACTTCTAAATCTCACTTCTGCTCTCAGGGAAACAGAAATAGACATTATCAAGTGAATTTATAGATAGTGCGTATGTGCTTTAACACCACGTTTTCCATGCCAGGCACTAGAGCTTTCACTCCTAAAAACTCAATACTCTAAGAGGTTAAGTTGTACTATGTCATGAGCACACTACGAAGGCACACACACATTATTTCTTTCCACAGTGTCAGCATTATTCAGTCATAAAGCAAAGTTAACATAATTATAAAGCAGGTTCAGGATTTCAAACTCAGTGA